GCATCCCTCATTCTATATCTTTGCATTTCATTTTTTCAGTCTAAGTGGAGTATCTTGCACTTTGTAGTATCCACCTGTTCTAAATTGCATTCAAATTCAAGTTAAGTACCAACAGAACCTATATTGTTCATAACTTGGGGACTGCCTATATAGTACTACAGGAGCACAACGGATTTTTTGATACCAAAATCACCATCAACTCGACACCTACCATAAATTAGCATCTATGTTTTGTGTGGCTTTTACAATCAGTGAAAATTTAAAATGCTAACCATGGAGAAATATGATATTTTTCCACTGCTGAACACCTCGCAGTCAGGAAGTTCCTGTAGTTTGAAGCCATTGTTCTGCTTTCTAGTCTCCAGGAGAGCAGGGGGAAAAGCCTGTTCCCTCCTCTCTATGACTTCCCCTCACATATTTATACATGGCCATCATGTCTCCTCTCAGCCTTCTCTCCTGCAGGCTAAATATGCCCAGCAAACAAAAACATAGTCAAAGGTGGTGAAGTTGGGAGTCCAACAATCTGGAATATCACATGCTTCCCATCCTTAGTCATTTCACAGACACGGCATGAATCCAAAGATAAATAATTCCTGAGAAATAGCCATCCAACTTCTACTCTACCAGCCAACATAAATCAAACCATTTGCTCCCATTTTAATAGTGAACTGGATACATTCATGACACTTGATGACTAAAATGCTTTGTCTGCGCAGAATTTTGTTAGGAAAAGTTATTAGCTGCTACTGCTGAAGAAGTACTTTGGCACTAGCTTGCTTTTAAATGTCTTTGTGGGCTGGTACCCATCACTGAATTATCTCAAATAGCTTAGTTATGCAAAGCAATCCAAAGCCACATTAACCAAGATGCAATTTTCACTTTCCCTGAGATGGCATTTATAGAGGAATAATTACTACGCTACAGCTTGAATTAGCGCTATAATCATGGTTTGGGTAATTACACTACAATACGGCAGCGCTTGATTTCATGGGAATTTTCACAAGGTTTGGTTGCTTTTGACAAGTGAAACACAAGCCAGAAGGGCAACATCATCTTCCATTTTGCACTTACAGAGGTAAACATTGGTCTGCTTGTCAACATATTGTAGTTTTCATTCTTTTTTAGGTATTTAAAACCAAGTTGTCTTTTTTTTAGATTGCTAACATTCCAAAAGTATTTATGAGGACTTTATTTTAACTCTGAATTCATGCTGTTAATGCTATTTTATTGAAGCAACAAGATAGGCTTTATGAAAGCTAAAAATAAAGGAGAATTTAATCCTCCTCTTGCTTTCAGCTTCACAAATGTTAATAGCAGCCTATGTTGCAACTGAAATGCAACTTTAGTGAAGGCAAGCTGGCACATTGCTGATTAAATCAAGCTATCCTCAATTTGTGAACTATTGTGATGACTGAAAATAATACAGCGGGACTATGCAAATAGTAGCCACATCCTACTTCATACTCTGCAATTTTAATATTTCTGAAAAATGTCAGTTTGACAGTCTTAAGAAACTAAAAACCCTTTTGTTTTCTCGGAAAATGACCACTATTTGAACCCTACAAGCAATCCTGTAGCTTGTTCTATTAAAAAGCAGTTGCAATTAACATACATTGTCCTCATAGGAAATGGCTTCAAATTATATATTGTTCTGAGTGCCTTAGAACAGAAGAGAGCAGCACAGAAGAAGCAAAATGAGGCCCTATGGATGTTAAAGTCACCTCTCATCAGCACTCTTCAGAAGGGTCAATAATGAGCGAATCTGATATAGTTCAGCATTTGGAGGCTGGAGCAGAAAATTCACCTAAGGTGTATTATAAGCCTCTCCCCATAAAAGTCAATATATGTATGTATGCATGTATGTACCTTGAATAGCTTGCTAGATCTGGACTCAATTTGGTATACATACCAATCATTATCCAATTTAAAATTTTGGATTTTGGAGGGTGAGGGGTGCTGGCAGAGGATGATGGGAGTTGGAGACCAGCCACACCTGGAGACCAGCCACACCTGGAGAGCCATGTGATTCACAGACACAACCAAAGGCTCCTCCTAACTGGTCAGATGGCTCGGCCTATTTCTCAGGCTGCATCTCCCAACATAAGGAGTCCCCGGTGGTGCAATGGTTAACCCTTGTGCCGGCAGAACTGTAGACCGACAGGTCAGAGGTTCGGATCCAGGGAGAGTGCGGATGAGCTCCCTTTGTCAGCTCCAGCTCCCCATGCAGGGACATGAGATTAGCCTCCCACAAAGATGATAATACATGAAAACATCTGGCCGTCCTCTCGGCAATGTCCTTGCAGACAGCCAATTCTCTGACACCAGAAGCGACTTGCCATTTCTCAGGTCGCGCCTGACACAAATAAATAAATAAATAAATCTCCCAACATAGTGAGGGGTGACTAAGCAGGGTGCGTATGATGGATTTGCAGCCAAACAAGACAGATTAGGAGGAGGGCTGTAAATTGCAGCCCAGCAAGATCTGGGGTTGATGGGAGTTGCAGCCTGACTAGGTCTTGGGCTGATGGAAGTTGCAGCCCATCAGCTGTATGATTTTTATAAACAGTCCAGTTAGAAGGGTATAGAAATAAGCAGAATTTATCAGTCATGAAGTAAATGAGAAAAATGAATATATCACAAAAATCTGGATAATTGAGCGCATAGAAGGATCTAGATAACTAGGTAACTCATTAAAAATAACTCTCACCTACCAAAGCATGTGGTAACACTGGTCAGTGACAGTAGTTTTTCAAACGCAGTTAAAATTTACACACACACATAAAATCACAGTGTGTGCTTCCATCCAAGCAAGATTAAAATTATGTGGCAGCTGTATTTATTTTCTGAAGAACCGATGTACAGCATGTAGATAGCAGCAGAAATAGAAAACGGGCTAAAGGTACCATTGCTAGGCCCTTACCTTGATAGGTATTCTACAAATTCTAATGCTTTGGTGGCCTAAAAGAAGATGAAGCCTTCCTCCTACCTCTGCCCTATACCCTCCACAGAGTTGTACTCCTCCTTCCACAGATGGTACAGAGGACAGAGCAAAGAGATCAGATTAGGCCAAAGCCAGGAGAGCAATCTTCTCTTTTCAATAATTGTGTTTCTAAAGGAATGAGGTGCCATTTTTCTAGCAAGGATGGGGCAATCCTCTAAAGAGAAACTTCTGAAAGATGTATCTGTGCAGGTGCCATGCTCAATTATGGAAGATACAAACTCTCCCTGCGACTATTAATACATCAGTGTACAATTTACAAACAGGTAAAAATATAATTGCTTCCGAAGCCTGTCTTAATAGCCTGTTTCCATTGGTTTTGGAGCAGTTTCTCATTCCTACCTATTGTAAAAGAAAATGAAAGCTTTCAAGTACTAAAGCATTGGTTCCATAAAGCCAACTTCTGCACTAGATGAACCATTACTCTTACTTGCACACGCTGAAATGCAGCTGTAATGTTCCAATTCATCATGTTTGGGCCTGATCTAATGAGCCTCATTACTCACACAAGAAAATGTTCTTAAGCAATTGGACACCATCGGCAACAGGTTCCAGTATTTATATCCCAGGTAGCATCTTCTCTTACACTTCTGCCATCCCTCACCAGTGCAATATTGGGACAAGCCAATGTACATCGCAAATAAATAGCCAGTGTTTACAAGTACCACAAAGCTTTTCTTGAACCAAGTAAAATTAGCTTATAGAAACAAGCTATTATTTTTTCAGTTTACAAAATTATGACTTTTAAAACATGTAACAGTAACTTCCAGAGTAAGTCAGCCTTTTAAACACTACTAAAACATTTACTTGAATATTGATCTCCTGCTTATCAATAACAGTATACAAACATGTACTAGAAAAGTTACGGCTTGCATAGAAACATTTTACCATGTGCAAATCTTACTAAAATAAGGCTTGAGTGCTTAGGAAACAATCTAGGTTTTCCCAAAGAACGCTGAGAAATGGCAGAGAAATACTCCACGCCGTCTGCATTCAAGATCTATTTGCTCATTTCTTCTTACACTTCAAAAAAGTGAACAGCTGAGAGTGTCAGACTTGTCCATAACATAAGGCAATATGGTATGTAATCAGCACAGCACCTGGTGTCACCAAGTAATGGGCTTATATACATTGCATCCATTTGGATTCATAGCTTCAGCCACTGGTAAAGCAGAATTAAGGAGAATGATCTTAACTCCACTTTTGATGGGTACCTAGAAAGTCATTTACGCAAAAGGCTTTTTGGAGTTGTCAGGGTCATCATGTAAATAGTCTTTGAAATTATCCCATCCCCCCCCCAAAAAAAAAAAACACTTTTGGCCCTACCAAGATGTTGGATGACAACTCTCCACTGCCCTTCACCATAGATTATGATTGACAGCATTGCTGCATGATTCAACATCTATTATTTTATGTTTTGTTATAACAGGTTGTGTTTTTAATTTAATTTCAGTTGTTAAGTTATAATTCGTGTTTATATGTTGTGTTGTTTAAATTTTGTTATTGTGGATATATTGTTGCATTCGGGCATTGAATGTTTGCCTTTTATGTTTGGAATCCGCCTTGAGTCCCTTCGGGGAGATAGAGCAGAATATAAATGAAGTATTATTATTATTATTATTATTATTATTATTATTATTATTATTATTATTATTATGTGTAATCCACATCTGTTTGTAGTCATTTATTCACTTGTGTTTAACCCAGGCCCTATCTGCACTGACCATTTAATGTAGCTCAAAGCTAGCTTCAAATTGCAGCAGCCAAACAAACTTCCACAAAATCATATGAAAGAAACCTGTTAATGCGCATCAGTGCTCTGTGGTTTGTGTAATCACTAGCCGGGCCTCAGACCGGTTCCAGTGAAACCATTTCCTCTGCATCTGAATTAAATGGTGAGAGTAGATGGGGCCCCAGAACATAGCTACTGCAATGTTTTAAAGTGAGATTTTGAAGTAACCAAAATCAGTGGTAGGAATAAGGTAAAATTAAAATCAATTAGTACACTAAATTTGTATGTTGCACAGTTGGAAATAAGGCCCAACATGAAGATGTAACAAGTTTCCCTGAATCAAGTATTACCAGGAATATAAAGTAACATTTTCCTTAATAAGTAGTTCTTGTGTTTAAAACAAACATTAAAATGTCTTTTTTCAAAAAAGAAAGTCTTTAAAACTAGTAATAATCTTCAAAATCACTAAATACTTTGTAACATAGAATGGAATGTTCCTGTGCAAGAGCAGCGAGCTCCTTGAGAAACTCTGGGAAGAGGGCAGCCGCAAGGATGGCATTCCGGATGTGCAGAGGAACGCTGGGAAGAGACGCTCCTTTCTTTGTCTTACTTCCTGAAAAGGGATGCAGGATGGCTTGAGACGCATCTGAGAGATTCCTACCTTTCCCAGTGACATTGTTGTGCTGGGCATTGTCTGTCAACAGAAAGAAAAACATGACCAAATTTGCACCGAAATCTATATACATTTAGTCAATTAATTAGAGAAAACAATGACCTTGCTTTGTACTTTTTTACAGATTTAGGCTGTCCTTCGAGCCTCTCCAAGATGACTCAAAACATTAGTAAATAATTTCTACTGCACTTTTCAGTTTTCATTATTTTCTCTTATCTTCACAAGATTTCATATTTTCCCAAAAAAGTGAAATTCCCAGAAGTTTGGAAGCCTGGCCTTCAATTCTGGTTTGCAACTACAGTAGAGTCTTGCTTATCCAACCTTTGCTCATCCAATGTTCTGTATTATCCAACGCAGTATGCCTCCCGCCCGGATCCACAGCTGTTTCAATACATTGCAATGTTTTGGTGCTAAAATTGTAAATACAGTAATTACTACATAGCGTTACGGTGTATTGAACTGCTTTTTCTGTCAATTTGTTGTAAAACACGATGCTTTGGTGTTTAATTTGTAAAATCATAAAATTTGACATTTAATAGGCTTGTTCTTAATCCCTTCTTGTTATCCAACATTTTCACTTGTCCAATGTTCTGCTGGCCCATTTATAAGTGCGACTCTACTGTATAAGCAAGGAGGAAGGGACAATTGCATTCATGTGTACATCTTTGTTAGCTGAGATGCTAGAACAATATAGGGAAAATCATTTGTTTCTCCAATGGCTATGTCTACATCTGTGTCTGTTATTTCTATTGTAAACATCATCATTAAACTTCAAAATAAAGCCTTAAAGATTTCATAACCAACATGTTGCCAGTTTTAATAATGTTCACATAAAAGCACAGATTTTCTTTATAGTTTGAGTGAGGAAGTGTTCATTTTATTATTAAATATCAATCTAGGCATATCACACAAACCCCATGCCCAGTTCAAACCATCCTGTATATCCTATTACCACAGGCCATTTCTATCTTATATTCTCTAATTGACATAATGATGTGCGTTGACGAACAACTGGCCGTTGGCAATGCAATTGGGTTGCTGGCACTGCAAGCCCATCTTGAAAGCCAAAGCTGCAGCAATCCAAACATTTGTTTGTTTTATAAGCATTAATAGAAAGGCCTAAAAAGCAGCTAAAATGTGTTTGTCTAGGGGAACGGGGTAGAAGCAACACCGAGTAATGCTGCAGCTTCTGTTTTAAGATCGTCAAAAACTTAGCAAATAATGGCACCCAAAAATTTGGTATGTGGTAGTGAATGAATGAATTTATGAATGAATTTATTATGGTCACAGACCAGAAGATTGCATCATTAAAACATTAAAAGCAGAGGTTTGTGAAAGATTAAAACCAGAAGTTCAACACATTAAAAGCAGAAAGTCCAAGATATATAACCAATGTATTCGGCTTCCTATTTAAAACATAACCATGACACATCTAAACATGGTATATAACAGCAGCAGCGTCAGCAGCACTTTATTTATAACCCGCCCTCTTCCAAACAAGCAGCAATCAAGACAAAACAATAAATAAATGAACTCAGTATAACTTATAAGCAACGGAAAATAACTGAGGATAAACTAAATAATACAAGGAGTTAAACTAATTAAAACATTAATACATTAATACATTAAAAGCATAACCTAGTATATCACATCAGCGGGTAGGTATCCAATGTTAAGGTGAGGATGTGTGTAAACTATGCTAATCCTCCTTGCACACATAGTTCTTTAAAAGCTTTCTAAAGGAGAGGAGGAAGAGGGCCATATTTAGTTCTTTAGGATGGGAGATCCAGAGATGGGAAGCGGCTACAGAGAAGGCCCCCTCTCTCGTTCCCCCCAACCATGCTTGAAACTGGGATGGGACTGAGAGCAGGGCCTCCTTCGCTGACCACAGTGTTAATGCTGGTTTATAAGCAGAAATACAGTTTTTCAAATAGTCTGGGCCCAAACCATTTAGGGCTTTATATACAACACTATGTGGAGTCTGACGCATGGTTTACAAATGTCATTTGATTAAAACCTGTGAAAATAGATATTAAACTATGTAGGTTAAAGCATTATCCACAATCAGGAACAGCTAATCACCTCTCAACAAAGGATTCCCCAAGGCACTAACAAGCCACACCTAAAAACTGTCAGGCCATCAATTGCTAATCAAGGTGACCAATTGAAACATTCACACCTACCTCCAACAGACAAGCGTTCTTTCTCCCACCCTGGACATTCCACAGATATACAAGTCCAATTTTCCTAGTTTCCAACAGGCCTTACAACCTCTGAGGATACCTGACATAGATGCAGGCGAAACGTCAGGCGAGAATGCTTCTGGAACATGGCCATATAGCCCGAAAAACCTACAACAATCCAATTATCCACTAAAATCATCTGCAATCTCCTTAATTTTATAGCTACAGCACAAAACTTAGCCACTATGAAAATGATCCATGGTTCTCTATCCTCTATTAGATATTTTAAATAGTATTCACCACTTCTGCCAGCAATCTTCTGCACAATAAGAGTAATCAAAGTAGATCGAATGTCCCTAAAGAAGTAGCAATGTAACAGGACATGCCTGGAAGTGGACAGAGAGATTCATGAAAAATTTCAAAATAATATATTTTAAGAAGGGAAAACCCCAACTTATCCTTGTGAATAATACTTACTTTGTACTGGGATTTGTCCATTTGTATTTTGGAGGCAGGTGAAGCTACAATAAGAACACGAAGGGCAAATATCATATAGAAGGAACTTCAGGGACAAATAAAATAGCAGCCAGGACCCAAGGATCCGTAAAACCAACACAATTATCCCCAAAGGAGCTTCAAGACCTCGGTGCACCTGGAGAACTGGATTTAAAACTGACGGGTATTTCAAAAGCAGTCTATGAGTCAGCTATTCAAAATGAAGTCCACCAAGTTAGAACAGGCTGCTGGTAGGTAAAGGTAAAGGTTTCCCCTGACATAAAGTCCAGTCGTGTCCAATTCTGGGGGTTGGTGCTCATCTCAATTTCTAAGCCGAAGAGCCAGCATTGTCCATAGACACCTCCAAGGTCATGTGACCAGCATGACTGCAAGGAGTACCATTACCTCTCCGCCGGAGCGGTACCTACTGATCTACTCACATTTGCATGTTTTCAAACTGCTAGGTTGGCAGAAGCTGGGCCTAACAGCGGGAGCTCATGCCGTTTCCCAGATTCGAACCTGTGACCTGTCAGTCAACAAGTTCAGCAGCTCAGCGGTTTAACCCACTGCACCACTGGGGGCTCCAAGGCTGCTGGTATGAACCAAAATAGCTCTTTGGAACCTAGCCCTTCATACGTTGGGTTTCCATACTCACAGTCTCTATTCCACACTCAGTGTAGAGATTTCAGGAATCAGCTTTTGAAACCCTGATAAGCATCTCATGTTTCTGCATGTAGCCTTGATGAGCTATTTAAATGGGAAAATACCAAAACGAGCTGGGAGCGGGAAAAATATAGACCTTCACCGCTGTTTTCAGAAAGTACTAAAAACTACCAAATCAAGTAGAAGAACCAGGGGCTCATTCTGAAAAATAATAAACAAGAATGACTTCCCTTCCACATTCGACTGCTCCACAATTAGTCACTATGGTTACTGTTCTCATCAGATTCCGCACATTCCCATCACCCCTGAGCACAGTGTCTAATGAAAACTCATCTCCACAACAGCTATATACACACCGTCTTCTGATACAGTGATTCGAGCAAGATGAGAACAAGAGCTTCTGGCAGCTGGTATTTAATTTTGAAATCAAAACACAAACTGATCACAGTCCTCATGTGAAGTGGTATTTWAAAAAAAAAAAGATTTTGTTTGAATTCCTATCCCACAGCACATCCTTAGTTTCAGGTGATCTGTTCAATAAATAGGAGGTGCTTTTGAGCATGGAAGTCTAATTAAGCCATGATTATTCAAAACCCTCCTTCCCCCCCCCCCCACCATACCATAAGTTGAAATGCTTATCTTCCCACAAACCCTACAGTGATAATTACCTGCTATGTGAAACAGCATCTCCATTTGCTAACCTTTCATTTCTAATGGATTTAAAATCAGTAACAACGTGGGAAGAAACTAACATATATATTTATATATTAGTTGAGAGCAGGTTTGGGGGCCAAAATTACGGATTTTTATATTGCATTGTCGAAGGCTGTCACAGGGTTGCTGTGAGTTTTCCGGGCTGTTTGGCCATGTTCCAGAAGCATTCTCTCCTGATGTTTCACCCACATCTATGGCAGGCGTACTCAGAAGTTGTGAGGTTTAATGTATTGTGTCCAAGGCTTTCATAGCCAGAATCACTGGGTTGTTGTGAGTTTTCCAGGCTGTATGGCCATGTTCCAGTAGCATTCTCTCCTGACATTTCACCCACATCTATAGCAGGCATCATCAGAGGAAAACTCACAACAACCCAGTGATACTGGCCAGATAATCTGGAACATGGCCAGATAATCTGGGATAAATAAAAAACCTGGGATCAGATCCTGGGATATAGGGCCTGTCAGGAAGGGCCCACAGTGATAATATCAGGATTGAACTTTGGGGCAGAAGTCTATTCCTTCTGCTCAGTTGAGTGACCAAGAAAGCCCGAGGAGCAAAAGAGGTAAATGGTGCTGCTGTACTTCTTCTATGCAGAAGAAGCCTTCTGGCTCACCTTCAGTCCTCCCTTGAATTCAAGACAGCACATACATAGCTGTCTTCATCATAGTTGAGATACAATGAGAGATTTCATCTCCTTCCTTCTCTCCACTTTGTGGTAGAACAGATCTCTAGCCACAAACACACTCCATATAACCACTTACATTGTCTCTGAGATTTTTTTCCTGTCCTTTTGAGAGCCGACTCATTTGCCTTCCTTTTGATTAAGTTCAAAGCCTTCATCCTTTCATTTGCTTCAACTGTCTGTTAGTTCTTACCCTCTGTTCTTTAATCAGCTACCCACTCATAAAAGGATATTTTCCTCTTACTCCATGACTTCTCAAATGGCACTCTTAAAGACACAGACTT